CCAGCCTTCCTCTCCCCTCCTCACCCGCCGTGTTCTACAAACTTATCTCTGCAACAAACACTTACTAAACACGAGTTGAGGCCACTTAAATAAGACAAATATTTATTTAGCAGCCGCTCTGTGCAAGGCAGGTCCCCTGGAGGTGACAGGCACAGTAAGTGCTGGGCACAAGCGTCCCAGCGCCAGGAGGAGAGGACAGAGCGGGCTCCCAGGAGGCTGGGGAGTGAGATTCAGGCATCAGAACCGCCTGGTACCAGCCCTGTGGGCGGCCCATGCCCCTAGGCACGTGCCCTCGCACAGACTGGTGGGCTGCTGTCCAGGACCCCACGGCCACCCAGGACGACGCCCCATCGCCCCGCTCACAGCACGTCTGGGAACACACTTCCCAGCCTCCCTCAGACCCCCAACCCCACCCTGGCCCCCGTGTTCCCGAAAGCGTTGTTACCATCCTCCAGACCGAGACTGGAAATCTCTGGAAATCTCGAAGTTCCCTCCGACACTTCCTGCTCCCTCCTCTGCGAGCCCGATGTGTCAGCGCATTCCGCTGCTCCGTGGAAGTGTCGCTCAAGTGCGCCCCGTGCCGCCACCACCCTCCAGGCCCGCACCCCTTCGGGCACCTCTCTCCTCTGCCCAAGGATCCCAAACCCCTTTTGCTTGGCTCTCAAGGTCCTGCAGCCTCGAGTTAGTTCTGCCCCAGCCCTGCCCCGCTTCCTCCCCGAAGACAGGACCCTGCCTCACCTGCCCCGTCCCTCTGCCCATCACCCAATCCCTGGGACACCCCCTGTCCCCACTTGACCTGTGCAGCCCCTCCTCGCCGGGAAGTCCTTCCTCCCATCCCCGAGCTCCAGCCCTGTCTGAACACCTGCTCAGCCGGAGGCCGCTGCGCGTCCACACCCATGCCGCACGTTCCAACCGTGCCCTCCTGTGCTCTCCACTGCTCATAACCCTGCTGAAGGAGGCCCTGCCTCCCTGAGGTGCTGGTAACCACGCCCCCATCCCTGCTGGGCTGCACAGAGATGACAGAGGTGCTCAGCTGTTTAAAGAAAGCCTGGGATGTATCTTTTTATAAAGAGCCTCTCCTTCCCTTTTTCAGGCCCAAGTCTAGGGGAAGGAAGTGGGGTTCTGGAGCCCTCCCTGGTCTGTGACATGGCACGGAGTGGGCTACACCTACACCACAGGGCCCCCTGTGAACCCCCTTCCTCACCTGTAAAAATGGAGATGATCACGTCTAGCTCACAGGGTCTCGGGGGTGACTGAGTGAAATGAGTAGACTTTGCAGGCGGTATAACATTAAATTGATTCTCTCCTTCCTTCCCATCATTTACCTTGGCTGGTACTGTGGTTTAAAATGTTTTTTTCATATTGGAGTTGCTACCTGTAAGGCATACCCTATTTTATGTAACCAAATATTTTTATCAAGTACCAACTATTTCTTAGTCCCTACTATGAGCAGGGGCCGATTTATGGGATGCTGAAGGACAGGGCTTGCTCCATTGGAGCCAAGGATGTGAAAAGGCACCAAGCAAAGGCCTTGCTCCTCAGGGGACCTGCCGTCTAGGTGGGGAGACAAACAGGGACAGGTAATTCTCCAGAGCAGGTAGAAGCTGGGAGCTAAACCACAGAGGCAGTGTGGGAGGAGCCACCGGGGATGCTCCCCGGACACCTCCACATTCCCATTCTGCTCCTATTCATGCCCACAACAACCCTTTCAGGCAGGTGAGATTACCCCCATTTTACAGGTGAGGCAAGTGAGAGGTTAAGCAATTTGTTCAAAGTCACTCAGGGAGTGACACCAGGATAGGAACCCCAGGTCTACCCAGCATTTAGCAGCTGAAGCTGCCTCCACTTCCTGCTGGGACGGAAGGCCAACATGGGGGCGGGGGGGTTCCTTCCCAGCCTGCACCTTGTGTGGCTCCAGCTGCACCTTGAAGGCTGGGAAAGGTGTAGTCGGGCAGAAAAGAGGAGGAAAGGAAAAGGCGAGGCATAGAGTGTCTGGGGTGAGGGGGGCAGAGGGTCACGTCCAGAGGCATAGTCAGGGCCAGCATGTGGATGTCATAAACTCCAGGCCACAGTCTGGGAACTCTCTCCAGAAACCCGGGGCTGCCGACGCTCTGGAGACCTGGTCACATGTTACAAATACCATCCTTTGCAGGAAGGCAGGTGTGGTGGCCGGGTGCCTGCAGGCTGCCCAGGGAGAAGGGTGTGTTACCATAACCCAGGGGTGAGCCACTGGAGCCCCAAATGGGACAGTGGCCGGGGAGAAAGGTCAGGCTGCGCACCAGTGGGATGGGGGGAGCCGTGGGTTCCAAGGTGACCAGGCCACGTGCCTGGGAGAACCTGGAACTCTCTGCAGGAGGGGGTCAAGAGGAAGCGATTTGCTGGGGTGAGGGGGGCAGGACAGCCAGGGCACCGGAGCAGCCAGTCTACGGGCAGGGAGAATGCAGAACCAAGGACCAGCCAGCCCCCAGAGCGGGGAGAGGTGCTGAGCTGACACTGGAGAATGTGAGGGCTCAAGCACGGGATATGGAGAGGAAGGGCTGAACAGCTGAGACTTTAAAAAGCAACAAGTAGTAGCACAAGAGGCCTGGGCTGGGAGCCCAGAGGCCTCAGGTGTGGCTGCAGAGCCTTGGACAAGTCACTTAACCTCTGTGAGCGTCAGTTTCCGGGGGATCAATAACAGCTCCCTGCAGGGCAGTGGTACAGACAAAATGCTTGTCTGGTTCAGATCAAGTGAAGTAAATTTTTCTAAAAAGCATTTGGAAAACTGCAGAACTCAATCCCCACATAAGGGATCCGTACTATGCAGAAGCAACAAGAGATGTTTTCTTCCCACACATATTCCCTGCCACTACCCACTCGCACCAGCCACATGGCCAACGGCTTCCTACTCTCTGTTCCTCCTGTTTTCCGCACAGTTTTTCCCCGTCACCCAGGACAGGTCATCCTGCCCTTCTTCCTTCCTTCCTTCCTTCCATCTCGGTCGGGCTGAGACCCACACCGGGGGCAGCTGAGGCCCACTGTCCAGGAGGCCTTGCACCCCAGCAGCTGGGACCTTCTGCCTGGAGCTTCCACGTCTCTCTCACCATGCAAAGTTCCCTTTCCATCCTCAGGGAAAACCACACTGGACAGCCAGACCAAGCAGCAGACCCAGTCTCTAGGAAGAACTCTGAGCGCTGGGGAAAATGCTAGCCAACGATCAAGATGCCTAGGGAGGTGGGGTGACAGGGAAAACAGAAAACCAGAACCTCCTTTCAACCCCCCTCCACAAACAAACCCAGACACTGTAATGTGTGCATCTGAGATTAACTCTCCAAAGGGTCGTGACCTTGAGGAACACATCCAGCCAGCGAGGAACATAATAAACCTGATTAATGAAGAGGCATGAGCTGCATGCAGCTTCAGCAAATACGAGCCTGATGATGGCCAGCGGAGTTCCCGGGGCTTCCTTTCCGGGTGGGACCGGAGCACAGCTGACCTCTCCCCGGCCCTCGCCCCATCCCATGAGCACAGACACTCAGGGAGCAAACAGGTCCAGATTTCTCTCTCAGGTGCCCACTGCCAACCCAGGCATCCTCTACCCCAGGAGATACCATGCCTGCCGTTGGCAGGTGCTCCTGGAAGCATCCCTGTCACCCAGGGAGCTTAGGTGAGGGTAGTTCTCTTCGTTCCTGGCAGGGCTCCGGGCTCTTGGCCAGTCCTGGGACCTCTCGGTCTGGTCTTGACTAGCACCCACTGCCCGGCACAGGGGCCCAGCCAAGCCCAGAGGGCCCCTCCTCTTTCCAGACAACCCAGGCCCTTGGGAGACATGCCCAGCAGAGCCACTGGAGGGAGGCAGGGAGGTGGCACCTTGTGGCATCACCAGACAACAGCACCAGGAGGAAGATGGCAGCATAAAGCAGAGATGCCAAGAGCTGTGCAGCCAGAGGTCCGGCGGGAGGGAAGCTCGGCCGCATTGCCCCGCCACTGCCAGGCTGGCGGCCCAGAGGGCCCAGGTCCTCCCCTGCCGCGACCTCCCCAGCCCAAAGGCCAACTCTCCCCGGGCTCCAGCTCCTCCCCTCTCACTTTCCTCAGCTCAAGGGAGCCAGAGCCAGAGACACAGGTGCTCTCGCAGCCCCAAAACCCCTGTCCCAGCTGTCGCAAGCTGGCCACCAACCCTGGCCAGGTCTGAGCCTCTCACCGCTCTGCCAGTCCTCACTGGGGAGGATCTCAGGCAGCTCCCCTCCCCCTCTCCTCGCCAGCCCCCTCCTGCATCATACGCCCAAATGCAGGTCTCTAGAGTTTCTCCCTCACTTCCCACTCGGGTGAACTAGGGTGGGATGGGTAGGAGCCTCATTAGTCCAGGGAAAGAGGGTCATTTCTCATAGGACGCTATTCCCCCGAAGCGAGACGGCGTGTAGGGTGGGGAGGTGGTGACAGGAGTCCACGGAAGGGGCCGGGGACAGTCGAGGCAGATGGCAGTGAGGAAGGGGGTAGGGGGCTTCGTGGGCTCCGGGCTGGGATGGGGCACTGGAGCCGGGGACCGAGGCGACCGAAGAAGCGGAGGGTGACGAGGTGTGGGGAGAAGCGCGGGGTGGGGAAGGGGCCGTCATCCCTGCAGGGGGCAGAGGCAGAGCTGGGAGTTGTACAGGGTCAGGGGGAGGACCAGAGCGGGAGGACGGCGAGCCCGAAGAAGGGATGCGGAGGGAGGGAGATGGGGATGGAGACTGGAGGAACTACGGGCGCAGAGCGATGGGGGTTCGGAGCCTGATAGGGAGACGCAGGGACCAGAGTGCAGGGGACAGGCTGGCTGAAGGCGGGAGAGGGAGGGAAGGGCGCAGGGAAGGGGGGTGGGGGTGGGGGCAGGGGAAGGGTGCGGGGCCGCGGCCCCGGAGGGCAGGAGAGGCAGAGACGTCAGAAGTAGGGGATTCGGGCGCGCGCGGAGCTCCGCGCGGATGGGACGCGGGGGGCGCAGGGGCAGCGCAGGTGCGGGCCTGGGGCGCCGCGGCGGGCCCTGCCCTTACCTGGGCGGCTCCGCACTCCGAGGGCTGAGCTGGGGCTGGGCGCTGCTCCGCTGACGGCCGGGCTGTTGTTTCCCTTTTCTTTCTTCTTCCGCAGCAGCCGTGGCGGCTCCAGCGCGATCCGCTGGCAGCTGAAGGCAGAGTCTGTGTCCGGCTGCGAGCGAGCGTGGAGACGGCAGCGCGGGAGGAGCGCGGTCGAGGCGCGGGGCGCCGCCCGGCGGGCAGCGCGGGAACTGCGACGGCCCGCGCACGCCAGCCGCGGGGGCGCCCCTTCGGGGCTCGAGCGCCGGGCCGCCGGGCCGGCCGCCCGCCCGCCCGCCGCCTCTCGCGGCGCGCCCGGGGCCCGGGTGCTGGAGGAGCGCAGCGGTGGCGGGGCCGAGCGGCCAGAGGCAAACTTGCCGCCGCCCCGGGGGTGGACCGAGGCCGAGCGGGAGGTGCGGGGCCGGGGACGCGGCTCCGGGCAGGGGCGGGAGGGGCGCGCGCGACAGAACGGCCGCGGGACGAGGTGTGGGCGCTGCGTTTGATCGACCTCTGGGGGACCTAGGCGCAGCCCGCATCCTGCACCGCCCTGCGCAAAGGGGCGCCCACCCCGGCACCGAGGAGTTCGAGCCCGGCCTGCTTCGGCGGGCAAAGGACGCCTCCTGGTGGGGCTTTCGGGAACAGCTCGAGGGACGAGCGAGCTGGTTACTGGAGACTGTGGCCTCAGTGGTGGCGAGAATGGAGAGCGCGAGGTCTCAGGGAGAGAAAAGACTGAATTGTTCCAGGAGTTTGGAGAGAGACGGCTTGTATTTAGTAGTTCTAGGGCACTATTTTATGAATACAAACATCTTTGGAGGAGCCGTCATCCTCATGTCACGGATGAGAACCCCGACGCTCGGAGAGACCAAGGGACCAGCCCAGGAGCCCAGGGCTCCACGTGAACAACGCAGCGAATGGCAGCACCAGGAGGGCAACCAAGCTTTCTGACACGCGGTCGTGGCTCATTTTACTATATCACAGCTGTCCTCAGGAGGAGCTGGGGAATCGGGGATCTTGAGGAGGGCGGTCCAAGGATACGTGACCTCCCCAGACGTGAGTTCCTCCTTTCCCACCCGCACGGTCTCTGTCTGGGGCAAACAACGAACTGATCACAGAGCCCTCCCATCATCAACGTCTTGGGCCGCCTCACGGAACTCTCTGCCTACCCACAACCTAGTCAAATTCTCAGTGAAGTGTTTGTTCCCAGACGCCCTTGGTTTGGTCTTGGGCATGAAAGGCTAACATCTGGACTAGAGAATATTCGATGACGCTGCATTCCCCAGGGAGAGCTAACCACCCTGTTCTTCCCCCTTCTCTGCCACCCAGGCTGCAGGGAGGAACGTGGGTCACAAGAGTGCTGGCTTTCCATGCCCACCTCCACGCAATGGGCTTGGCGAAAGCTCACTAGGGAAAACACCACGTACCCCTGCTGGGTGCCAGGACTACAGCACTCACACAAGTGTGGTTTCCAGTAACCTTCACATCAACTCTGCAAGGGAGGTGTGAAGGTGACACTAACCTCATTTCACAGATAAGGGAGCCCACTAAAGCGTAAGATCCCCCTTAAGGCAGCCACACCCTGGGGTGAACAGGCTGCACAGAACTATCTAATTCCAGCTCTGTTTCCTCACACGAGGCCTCATTTGCAAAGAGGCCAGACAGCAACATGGACCAAGCAGACTGGAGGAGTGAGGGGCATCCCTGGGACCCCGGGCAAGCTACTTCACATCTCTCCCCTTCAGTGTTCGCATCCCTAGATGTGAGGGAAGCAGACTGAATAACCTCTGAAGTTACTTCAAACTCTGAAATGCCAAGCCTGCGTCCTGGGCCCTTTTTCCCGGAAAGATGCAAGATCAGCGAGACCATAGAGGCTTAAGTGTTTGGAAAGAAAAATACCATCTATGTGAAACGCTTCATCTTATTCCTTTGCCTCCTGATAACCTGGGGGGGGGGGGGGGGGGGGGAAGGAGCTGTCGGCGAGATCAGAGGGATTGCAGACAGGTCTGGAGGTAGACTCTGCTGTGGCCTAACGAGGACCCCAGTTTCTCCCCTTGCTGCCAGGATGATTCTTTCATTCCCTTCCTTAAGGCCTCTGGCCCTAGAAGCAAGGGGCCCACTAGCAGTCAGATGGTGGGCAGCAGTGGCAGAGAAGCCTGCCTCCAGCCCCACCCTGGTTGTCCCCCATCCACCTTGCTGTCTCTTCCTTCTGCTGCTATAACCCCGGAGTTCTTCTGAGTGATCACTGCTTGCTGTCCGCTTTCTTTACTCCTGAAAGGCAGTGCCATTTGTCAATCAAAACTTAATTCCAGGCAAGCTTAGTTCCCAACTCGACTAGGGGTGGGGTTGGGGTCGGGAAGGTTGGTCCAGATAAATTTTGGATCCCACAGCAGGGCTGGGTCGGAGGGGACTGAGGCCGGCCCAGCTGAACTGCCTCGGAGGCTGCAGCCTTGAATGAAATAGCATAAGGGTTGGAAATGGGGTCCCTCCCCGAGAACCTCTCATCTGAAGCACCCACCACAGCCAGCTGCTGGGCTGGGCTAGACAGACAGGGTCCCGGGTGCTAGGGCATCATGGTTAAATCTAGTGGGTTCGAGCTCTTTGGTGGCTGGAGACCACAGGAAGGAGTTTGTTCTCCTGGATTTACGCTAGCGTCTTCCTTCTTTGTATTTGCTTCAGGTGTATCCTTGAAGAATGCTTGATCTTAAATTTACCAACCTGTCTTTTCCAAAGGTCCATTTGAAGGTTCACCACCAGTTCATAATGAACCCATTGCATAAGCAGGGCCAACTCAGGCACACAGTGACTGGGTGATTTGTCCTCACTTGCTTAGGGGCACATGCCATCCTCATGTCACTGTCTCTTAGAAACTATTGCAACAGTCTCCTAACTGACCTCTCTGCCTTTAGACTGGCTCCCTGCCGTTTAAGCTACTTCACACTCTGGCTTAAAACCCTTTCACGACCCCAGATGGCCCCTAAGGTAAAACCGAGTTCCAAACTGCCTAGCACAGTCTGAAGGCTCTGCTCACTTCTCCTGTCTCACCCGTCCTCCGCCGCTGCCCCTCTCACACTCCATCAATACCAAACGCTTGTAATGAGTCCTCCTGTCCTCCTAGTTTATGCCTCTTTGCCTCTAACACGTTGACTTCTGCCTGGAGCCCATCCCCCCACTCCCACCCCGCAACCCTCACACACAGATAGACAAGGTAATATTTACCTTTCCCAACTCAGTTTAGGAATCTCTTCCTCCTGGAAGTTTCTCCTGACCTGCCATCTGGTCCCTTCCCTACAGAATTTATCACTCTCTTCTCTAGACTTTGCTTGCACTTATCAGAGCTTATGGCTGCTCACTTGTTTCGTGTCTGCTTTCACTAAGAGACTATGAATTTGGTCTCCTGGATTTATTTTTCTCTTCTTCTTCTTTGTATTTGCCTCAGGTATATCCACAAAGAATGCTTGATCTTAAGTTTACCTACCATCTCTTTTCCAAAGATCCCTTTGAAGGCTCATCACAAGTTCATGGTGACATGTTGCTGTATTAACGGCACAATGCCTGGGATGGTAGAGGCAAGTAAATGTGTTCAGTGAATGAACGGCCATGGAGTAAGAGTTAGTGGGTCTACAAGTCTGGCAAATCAAGTTGGCTTCTGTGGTTGGACCAAACGAGTCAGATGAAATGACCTAACTGGCAATATGAAGCGTTGGTCCCCGCTACATTGAAGCCTTTACAAACCTAAGCTAAAGTTGGGGTTCACGTTTGAGGGAATGAGGTTGAAAGAAGCAAGAACCTGATTGAATAACCTTCTTGCCACACAGTATTAAAATGCAGCAATCCTGCCAGAGTACTACTGCACTCAAACTCCAGATTAAATGAAAATGATTCTCTGTGTTCTTCTTGCCACCTGTTTGGGGATGAATGGTTCCTTCGTAAAGGATGATGTCTAACAGAACCAGTTTAGGAGCAGAACTGAAATTAGAAAGAGAACTGTTCTTTGACTTTGATTTTTACTCATGCCTTGAAGGATGAGACAAGCCGTGGTTTTGCCTAATGACATTGTGGCCAAGTGTTGGCAAAGAGCAAATATACACGCATGTGAGTTTAGACTTCTGTAGCCTCCGAGCCTCCTAGCAGCAGGTCACTCAGCCTAGCTGGCTGCAAAGACTCCATCTAATGCTAAAAAGCCCCACCTCCACTTGACAACTACATTATCACGCACTTCCCTTTCCCCAATGCCTCTTGTCTCCATTTTATGAGTCTAGGCATAAAGAATACTGCTCACATTGAAATTAAAATGAAAACTTGGATCATCCCTGATCAGAATACAACCTGCAGCCCTGCTCTCACCCCTAATGGGAGAACCTAACTCATCCCACCATGTATCTTGGTTTCCGTTTACCACCGAGCAGAAGAGATAAGCCGCCGTGGTAATTACTACTTCTTCAAGAAATTGTTGGTGCCTATTATGTGCAGGCACTGGAGACAAAATAGAAGACAAGAAAACAGACAAATCCAGGGCTTCCCTGGTGGCACAGCAGTTAAGAAGCCGCCTGCCAGTGCAGGGGACATGGGTTCCCCTGGATAAGGAATTCCCGGATCCCTGTTCCAGGAAGATCCCACATGCCCGGAGCAACTAAGCCCAGACGCCACAAGTACTGAGCCTGCGCTCTAGAGCCCACACGCCACAACTACTGAAGCCTGCGCGCCTGGAGCCTGTACTCCGCAACAAGAGAAGCCACCGCAATGAGAAGCCCGTGCACCGCAACGAAGAGTAGCCCCCGCTCGCCGCAACTAGAGAAAGCTGCGCGCAGCAACGAAGACCCAACGCAGCCCAAAATAAATAAAAATAAAAGAAATACATTCACTTAAAAAAAGAGAGAGAGACAAATTCAGGGCTTGGCCTCTAGGAGTTCACAGTCAAGTGAAAGATTTGGGAGAGGTAGACAGTCTCCTTCTAACAGCTGTGGTCCATTCTGACATCAGGTATCTTCTGTATGGTATTTCACATACAGTTAATTCAGTTACATAGTCATAGTCTAGGTTGGCTGACTGGGTGTAGGTGGGGAGCAGACTGCAGGGGCGTGTGATTCACGGCAATTCCGGAGTTGGGACTGAGGGCCTTCAGCACACACTGGCTCGGGTCCACACCCAGAATTCTCAGCCTGGATCTTCTAAGGACCTGTGCTGTGGCTGGAGGCTGCACCTTGGTGGGAAAGAGGGACTGGATTCACCTGCACTAGTATGGGCTCTGCCCAAGTTTGAAATACTAGAAGAGATGCCTAC